CATCGTCTTCGCAATAAAGCCGTCCCCACAATGCGTCTTGAATTCGACGTAAAAGCGTGGTGGGTGACTCATGGTAGAAGTCCTTCGGGATAGAACAGAAGCCAGCAGGCAGAGTACAACTGATGAGATGGGATGTCGCAACTAGCAATGAAGCGAGTCCGCGCCACGGCAAACCAACTTCTTTGTTTCGATGTTGAAATTCGGGCGATTGACAGTCCGTTAAACTCGTCGATTCGGTGATGGTTGCCATAAGCAACATTGAGCTGTACAGCTCATCATCAAGCGGGTTCAAGAAAGCAACAACAGAGAGAGGAGCAAGAAAGAATAAGGACGAGATGAAATGGGACATAAAAGCGATTGCTTGTTTGAAAGACTTTGGTTCCACCGCGAGAGGGTTGAGAGGAGGAGAGCGGATAATAGTGTAACGAGTGAGAGTTTCATCGAAGAAAAATGAGGGAATGGATGTAGATGATTGAGAACTTGAAGAAGGGGCTGTTGAAAGGGGATGAAGACAAAAAGGTGTTTAAGGATTGATAGCAACATAACAGCTGCTCCATCATCGAATAGAGTGATTCCGATCCAGCATGGGACACCGTGGCGATAAAAGAGAGAACTTTGATGAAAGACTGAATAAACTGTAAGCGAGGGATAAAAGGAGCGTAACATTGAGATGAAATGCCACTCTCTAATTTCAGTTTGTCTATTTGTTGTTGGAGCAATCGACAAAATGCGTCAGGATGTGGAAGGGCTCCCTGATTCTTGTACGAATCCAGTGGAAGTAAAATCAGATGCGCAGTTTCAGCCTCAGCGATCAAGTGGCCACGGGAAGCAGAATCAATTGCTTCCTGGTCCGTCTGGAGAGTCAAACGGCTGCGCAGTCCTTCATAAGCAAGGGGCGAGGGACGTTGCAACTCAAGTCCCCAATGAATGGGCGTCCTGATGTCTTCACAGAGTTCAACTTCGTTCGGGTTGAGTCGAATTTTGTGCAATCGTGAAGCGAATTCACAAATTATCAAAATCCCCTCGATGTAAAGCTTCAATATTGGTGATGCTGTCTTGAGATGCTCGTAAGAATGAAGGTAAATGCAGCGGCCAAGCGTGATCACTCTTGAGTTCCATCCGCATAGAAATTCAATTGAACTCCAAAACAGTCCGTCCATAACTTCTAAAATCTTATGAACGGTTTCAGACTCTCTGACTTTCGACTCATCAAAATCGGCCGGTGAATGAACATCATTCACAGTGAGTTTCAAGTCTCGAAGCAGCCCTTCCCGTAATGCTTTCCCCACAGTCAAACTCTTATGCGGATTGATGTTCGTATCCATTGATGGCATCCCAACAACTATAGCATTCATGGCAAAGGATGTTTCGAACCCATCCATCGTCATCACCTCATCTGACCCTAAGGAGTTGGAAACCTGGTCAAAGGCAGATGTTGCGTCGATCCATTCCATCGTATCAGGAATGATGGACACGTGACTGATACACGATCCATGGCAGCAGACACTGTGCTGGTTGTAGACTTTTTTTCTTTTCTGGCTATCGTCTCCATTGTCTACATCACTTTCAAGGTTGTCTCGTACTGTCGTCGTCATCACCGGAAGAAGCAGTCATGATCCTGGGGAACAAATGCATTCAAAATTTTGAGCTCTCCGAGAAGATCGGTCAAGAAGGCTGCTCATAGTTGGCACGCATAGCTGGGGGTCAAACGGTTGACTTCTGCACGCTTTTCCCAACCCAACAGAAAACTTTTCTTCAAGTCATTTTTGCCGTAGCACGTTAGCATCGCCTCGACCATACAGGAAAAAGCTGTTCTAATTCAATCTCTCACTCTGCTTGAAAAAAGTCAAATACTTTGAAATCGTTGAAAAAATTTATAACTAAAAAGTATTGTAAAAAAACTTCAAATTTGGAAACTTCACAATCTTTGTCGAGTGAGTTCTTCAGAATTATGAATAGCCTTATTAAACGCACCATCAACGAAAGACTCCAGATGTTCACGGGAATTTTTCGGTAACGCACTTCCATCAACGACTGATCGGAACTTGCGATAGAGTGACGCAATGGATGATTCTCCAGTCGATCGACCAGACTGTCCATCGGGTTGCTGTTCAGCCACTGCTGGTGTCCGCTCTGGTGCTGGTGGATCGTTACTCACCAAGCTCATCACACCGTCAACAGCATCGTCTAACAGGGATGGAGTTGAAGTTATCGCTTCTGCTCTAACAACCGCGTCAAAGATTGTATTTGCTTCCGACATCAGTTTGTCTCGTAGATACGAAGGTAGGGAGGTTGCATCTTCAATCGTTTCTTGTGTTTTTTGGTAAACTGCTGCGATAGGCGCCAACTTGGATGGATCACCAAATTCATCACTAGACAAGCGGCGGATAGTACAAGGAGGCCGTCGACGCATAGTCTGAAAAAAAAATTAAAGGGTGAACCCAAAAAAGGAATCCAACTTCTTACTCGTTGCTCAGGAGTGAGAGCAAAATCGGGGAACCAATAAGGCCAGCAGAAGTCATGAGATTCTTTGGGTTCTGATTCCGACAATTTGTCTGCTTTGGCAAGTTGATTGAAAATGGCTTCAGTCTTCGAAATCAATCCCCCTCGAACATCTGCAGGAAGCTTCTGACTGGAGTGGATCATCTCAAGCGTCTTTCGATACAGAAGTACTAAACCTTCAAGATCAATAGAATCCAGATGAGATACTTCCGAGCTCTCAAGGCGACGAACACACGGAGATCTTCGACGAGCTACCTGGAAAGCATTTCAACTGAAAGCTAGAGAGCGCGATCCTGACTCACTCGCTCTTCAGGTCGGATCATCCAATCAGGGACCCATGTTGGGAAACACCACACTGCTGATTCTGGAACGGAAGGAGGAACGTCTTGAGCGTGAGCTCCTGTCGCTGCATTAAGAATGGTTTCGATTGCGGAGATAAGGTCCTTTTTCTCTTCAAGAGTTTGAAATGGAGACGCGATAATAGCATCCCAAATTTCCTCGAAGGCAGTAGCAAGTCTGACATACTTCGTGGCCACAGGGGGAACGCAATTTGCGTGTCTGCATTTCCCGGTTTTCCGGCAGTGGAGCTGGTCTTCAGTCAATCGCTGGGCTGGCCACCAGCACGGAGGCTCGAAGCGAATCTTGTTAGCATCTTGGGGATCAGATCTCTTTTGCAAAAACGTCGGACTTGAATGCTCCAATTTGCGATCAAGTGTTAAAATAATTGAATTATAAATTTGATTTGCTGCTTCACTTAAAGCCTCTTTCGTCTGTGGTGGATCCCTAGATGCAAAGATACTTGAAATGGTATTAAACCAGAGGTCAGCGAGCTTGTCCAAGCGAGCACCGATCTCTGACGAAGGACTGACTGCAACGAAATGGCGAGGGCAGTTCTGATGCAAGGCATCGCAAACCTTCCGTTGATTGCAACGAGCCATTCTATCGTCCAACTTCCACGTAGGCCACCAACAAGGATAGCACCCGGGCAACGGACAAGCAATATTATCTAAAACTTTCTCACTAAGGGAAGGAGAGAAAGTTCCAAGGGGAAAAAGTGTTGGAGTTGCGTCTGCCTGAGAGCCTTCGTTGGTTGATGGAAAGGCGTTTGCCACCCAGTCGTCTGTGTCAGCCGCATCAGATTTCGCTGGGATATCAAAAGCTTCTTGAACGAGGCCCAAGAGGAGAGGAGGGTACCGACGAGCCTGCGAACAGGCAGCCATGAGCAGAACCAATGTCAGGGTTCTGAATATCATTTTTAAAGAGAAAAAAAACCGAAAAATGTGTGAGGCTTAAAACTAACTGAATTGGAAAGTGAGGGCCGCATGCTGATGAGACAAGCAGGTCAACAGATAAACTCGTTAAGGTGGATCGCTCCAGGAACAGCCTGTTCGGCACGATGGCAACAGCATCAAGAAGAACGATTTTCAATCAACTTTCCGAGTTTATTGGATTCCGCAGCAAACGGTTGTACAACACTTTTTATAACGCGCAATATTCGGGAAAGTTCGCCCTCGTCTTCCTCTTCCCAGGAGTTCTGTGTGCCGTTCGGTATCGTGCGGAGACGAAGTATGGATATAATGTTTTTATAACAGATGAAACGATAGAGCCCAAACCTCATCCTCCTTCATGGATTCCTGCTGAAACACTAGGACTGGAGAAGTATTTTGCATGGAAGAATGGAACAAAATTCTACGTTGATGGAGAAATATCTGTTCGAGAGTTCAAAGAGCGCGTTTTTGGTGGGATTGCTAGCGTTCCTTCGGATGTCGGTGTCGGGTGCAAAGGTCGCATGTTCGAGGATTCTGACAACTTGGCAATAGCAGTGCGGTCGTTCTGTAAGAGAGATCCACGCATCTTGATTTGGAGGGAGGATTGGAAACAGAAAGCCATCGCAAGATTGTTGAACGAGTAGACTCAACACACTCGCTAGCACCCTTAATACTTGTATGTGCATCTGACGCGCTACCGTCAGCGATTCCATTTGTCCTTTTTGTAACAAACTTGTCGTTGATGTAATGGGGTGGATCAATGCGCGGCGCATGCTTCCCTGCATGCGGTTCTTGCATACAGAAACAACCGGATCGTTCATTTTTTCTCCGTTTTCGTATCTTGCATAGCATCTATGGGAACTTCGCAATCTGCACCACTCAGCGTTTGTATGGAGACTCGAGATCAGGACAATTTGATCGACCACATCACGACACAACCTGGGGATGCGTGGCTGATGGTTCCTGTCGGGGAGTTGCATGAAAAAATGGCGGATCTGAAATGTCGCTCATATGAGGAAAGGGAGCCCTTTGGAGACCGAGTTCAGGTAAACGGTTTATTCTGATTCCAGCTTGAGCTTGTTATCATGTCAGCGTTACGTTGACGGGTTGACCATTTCGTATGACCATATGAGGAGAATGGAGGACTCCTTTGTCCACGAGCTTGAGGTTGGGTTGGAATGCCATCGTCTCCACCCAATGTCGTGGATCCCAAATGAGTGCTCATTCAAGATGCTGGACGCCTGTGTCGGTCAACTTCCATCCGGAACAGAAACTGGTGTAAGGCTGCATGATTGGATTTCAACACGACGCAACTCCGTTTTTTTTTCAAGGTTTTTTATGCAGTCGATTTTGGAGGAACAAATTTTCGCGTTGTTCGTGTCGAGCTCAAGGGAGACGGACGCCTAGATGTTCGCCAGAGGCAGCAATCGCTCCTCTCTGCTTTCTCTAGCGAAGATTGTCCTAAAGGTTTATTGGATGGTGGCGCAACAGCACTTCAGATGTTTGATTTCTTTGCGCAAACCGTCAAAGATTTCATGCAGGAAGAAGGAGACCACACTCTTTCTAATGTGCAATGCGGTTTCACTTTCAGCTTCCCTTGCGCTCAGCGTCAAATTGATTCGGCAGTTTTGATGACTTGGTAGGTTGCTACAGTGTTGTGTTTGTAATTGTCGCCTCATTAGGACAAAAGGATTTGAGACTGGGCGTCGAACTGATGATCCAGTGGAGGGACTTGATGTGGCTGAATTGATGAACGTAGCATTTAAGCGAAACGGGGTGCCTGTGCAATGTAATGCAGTTCTCAATGATACGGTATGTCATGTAGGGGTAGCGACTATTATCATAGAAGTCTTCAGGTTGGAACGCTCCTATCGTGTGCGTACGAAATGGATCACCAACAACATCCTCCTTGCATGGTTGGAATGATCCTAGGAAACTGGTATGAATTGCTGTTATTTTGACTCCACGGCTCCGAAATTCGGCTACACGGGTAGAATAATCAATATTGAATGCGGCAACTTCAACCGCGATCTCCCTAGAACAAACATCGATTGTGAGGTAAGAGGATCGCACGCTTATCACAATGTTCAAAAATTTCGAAAACACATTTGTTTCTTATTTCAGTTGGATTTCAAAGCTATCGATAACAGAGGTATGGAGTGAGTAAGATCTTACTCACTCCATACGTGTATTTGTTAGGATTTCAACAGATTGAAAAAATGTGTTCTGGCGCATATTTGGGAGAAATTTGCAGAATGACACTTCTTAAAATCTTTCAAAACAAATCTCCCGCTCTTGCATGGGAAACGGGATCCTTGTCAACTGTCAACATTGCAAAGATTATGAATGATAGATCGAAAGAATTGATCGTCACTCGTGAAATCATCAGAGATGTAAATGATGATTCTGATCCCTCGTTTGATCATTTCTGTGTTTCCAGGTTTGGAGCGCAGAATTGTCTGTCGCTGAGCTTGGAGTCATTCATCGTATCGCCACTGCAGTCATGGACAGAAGTGCCAGACTAGCGGCTGTCTTGATTTCTGGCTGTGCCCGTAAGACGGGTCGCCTTCAAGCGGCTTTTGGTGGTCTCTCTGTCGGAATCGATGGCTCTCTTTATAAACGGAATCCTTGGTATCGTGAGCGTCTTCGCTATCACTTGGATCAAATGCTCGGCCCATCCCGTTCATCTCTGATCCATCTTCTGCTTGCTGACGATGGAAGCGGCAAAGGGGCTGCGATTCTTAGTTCCGTCATCGCGGAGAAGAGCCAGTGATTCTATTCTCTATTTTTCTGGTTCATTTTTGTTGATCCAATACTACAGATTTTTCTCTTATTTTTCACAAATGTTTTCCCAACTGCACTATTGACAGAGTTGATGAACGCCCAAAGTCGAACGTCTCCGGTATTGCATGTCATGACACTCATCACAACCAGTTTTCATCGAATACTACACTTGACGGAAATGTGTCGTCTCCTAGCAATTTTCTTTTTTTGTGTGTTGTTGGGATCCTGTAAAAGCGAGGAGTCCGAATGCCATTCTGCAGTTTCAAAACGTTATGGAGTCAGAAATGACGTCTGTCGCGATCTTTGCTTCGATCTTGGAGATGGTATTTATAGCGACCCATTCTTTCACTCGGTTTGTCAATTTGACTGCTTTGTGACTCTATGGGTATTCCAACGAAGGCGGGGTAGGAATGGGGAATGGAAGAGCTCAAATCGGTCGCGTGATCAAAAACGTCCCAGGCATTTTGTCAGCAGCATTGCCAAGAAGATAAAAGCTGCGTTCAATTTGCATGGCGGACCCAGAGTGCAGGAACCATGCAAAAATACATTTGCCAACTAAAAACCGCAGAGATGGTGAAGAATGCGTTGGCTATTGATCTCACTGGACTCTCAAATGGGCACACGACTGCAGCAACTGATCCGCGTTGGAAATGGTGCAATATGGGCCTTGGGTTCCGATGCAATGGTGGCGGATATACTTGTCTGGAGTGTGATGGAATGAAGTGCGTTTACCAAAGCGACCTTCACATTTCTGGTCCTAAATGGTGTCCTGGGCATGATGCATGCACGATCGCTGATAAAAGGACGACGACCACGACAACCACCACGACAACTACGACCACCACCACCACAACAACTATGACCACAACAACAACTATGACCACCACCACCACAACTATGACCACCACCACCACAACTATGACCACCACCACCACAACTATGACCACCACCACCACAACTATGACCACCACCACCACAACTATGACCACCACCACCACAACTATGACCACCACCACCACAACTATGACCACCACCACCACAACTATGACCACCACCACCACAACTATGACCACCACCACCACAACTATGACCACCACCACCACAACTATGACCCACCACCACCACAACTATGACCACCACCACCACAACTATGACCACCACCACCACAACTATGACCACCACCACCACAACTATGACCACCACCACCACAACTATGACCACCACCACCACAACTATGACCACCACCACCACAACTATGACCACCACCACCACAACTATGACCACCACCACCACCACAACTATGACCACCACCACCACCACAACTATGACCACCACCACCACCACAACTATGACCACCACCACCACCACAACTATGACCACCACCACCACCACAACTATGACCACCACCACCACCACAACTATGACCACCACCACCACCACAACTATGACCACCACCACCACCACAACTATGACCACCACCACCACCACAACTATGACCACCACCACCACCACAACTATGACCACCACCACCACCACCACAACTATGACCACCACCCACCACC